CCTACTAGTGATAGTTTAGGTTTTTGGTTAAATGTCCTTATTTTCATCAAGATTTTCATCAAGGTAGGTGTATTGGGTTTGGGGGTTCTTAGGGGGTTGGAATGGATATCTCAGTCTTTACTGCCATTGTAGTTTTCCAGTAAGGTTAGTTTAGAGTTTATTTGATGTATTTGGTTGATTTATCTGCCCATTATTAATGGTTAACAGGGTTTTGGGTCTTGTAAGGGGATTAATTAGTTAGGGTTTGGTTAAATATTAAAGTTTGTTACACCATTTTCCCTTATTCCTATCTTCTTAGATGTCTTGTAGAGGGAGGGGTTCCTTGGGTTGGGTGTAGGATCTTTGTCCTTTCTGGGGTTGGTCATTTTGTGGGTTTAATTAGATTTTTAGTTTATTTCATATATTTAGTTGTTGTATCTGCCCATTATTAATGGTTAACAGGGTTTTGGGTCTTGTTAGGGGATAAGTTAGTTAGGTTTTGAGTTAAATGTTAGATATTGTTACACTCTTTTCCCTTATTCCTATCATCTAAGGTGTCTTGTCAAGGGAGGGGGTCCTAGGGTTGGATGTAGGATCTTTGTCCTTTCTGCCATTTGTCATCGATGGGGTTAATTAGTTTGGGAGATTATTTCATGTATTTGGTCGTTGTATTGTCCCTTTAATTATGGTTAAAAGGATGGGGGGGAGGGGGTCCTTCTAGGTGATAGAGTAGGTTTTAGGTTAAGTGTTAGAGGTTTTGGCTCCATTTCTTCTTATTCCTATCACCCATGTATGTTTATGAGGGATGGAGGTTAGGGAGTATGTCTGTCCTTTGGGTTATTGTTCCTGTCCCCATTGGTTGCAGGTGTTAGGTTCAGTTTAAGCCCTGTATTTTCTAGAAGGCTGGTTTTGAAGTCGGTGTGTGCTTTTTCGATCACAAAGTCAGCTTTCTAGAAATGTCCTATTTGTGTTAAAGTCATTTCATTGACTGGTTGTGGGGGTCTTGCGCGGGGTAGATTCTAGTTGATTTGATGTATTTCCTTGTATATCCCCTATTAATAGTGGTTAAAAGGGTGTCCTTTATTTGGTTGTCCCCTCTCTTCCCACTTCTCTCCCTTTGTATTGGTTAAAAGGGGCCGGGGGTCCTACTCTCCGTGATATTAGGTTTTGGGTTAAATGTGTTTATTTTCATCAAGATAGGTGTATTGGGGTTGGGGGGTCCCAGGGAGGTGGGGGTGGTGATATTAGGTTTTGGGTTAAATGTCCTTATTTTCATCAAGAGAGGTGTATTTGGGTTGGGGGTGTTAGGGGGGTGGGGATGGATTAACTCTGTCTTTTCAGGCATTGTAGTTTTCCTGTAAGGTTAGTTAAGAGTTTATTTGATGTATCTCTTCCCGTTTCTCTCCCCTTTTATTGGTTAAAAGGGAGTGGGGGTCCTACTAGTGATAGTTTAGGTTTTTGGTTAAATGTCCTTATTTTCATCAAGATTTTCATCAAGATAGGTGTATTGGGTTTGGGGGTTCTTAGGGGGTTGGAATGGATATCTCACTCTTTACTGCCATTGTAGTTTTCCAGTAAGGTTAGTTTAGAGTTTATTTGATGTATTTGGTTGATTTATCTGCCCATTATTAATGGTTAACAGGGTTTTGGGTCTTGTAAGGGGATTAATTAGTTAGGGTTTGGTTAAATATTAAAGTTTGTTACACCATTTTCCCTTATTCCTATCTTCTTAGATGTCTTGTAGAGGGAGGGGTTCCTTGGGTTGGGTGTAGGATCTTTGTCCTTTCTGGGGTTGGTCATTTTGTGGGTTTAATTAGATTTTTAGTTTATTTCATATATTTAGTTGTTGTATCTGCCCATTATTAATGGTTAACAGGGTTTTGGGTCTTGTTAGGGGATAAGTTAGTTAGGTTTTGGGTTAAATGTTAGAGATTGTTACACTCTTTTCCCTTATTCCTATCATCTAAGGTGTCTTGTCGAGGGAGGGGGTCCTGGGGTTGGATGTAGGATCTTTGTCCTTTCTGCCATTTGTCATCGATGGGGTTAATTAGTTTGGGAGATTATTTCATGTATTTGGTCGTTGTATTGTCCCTTTAATTATGGTTAAAAGGATTTGGGGAGGGGGTCCTTCTAGGTGATAGAGTAGGTTTTAGGTTAAGTGTTAGAGGTTTTGGCTCCATTTCTTCTTATTCCTATCACCCATGTATGTTTATGAGGGATGGAGGTTAGGGAGTATGTCTGTCCTTTGGGTTATTGTTCCTGTCCCCATTGGTTGCAGGTGTTAGGTTCAGTTTAAGCCCTGTATTTTCTAGAAGGCTGGTTTTGAAGTCGGTGTGTGCTTTTTCGATCACAAAGTCAGCTTTCTAGAAATGTCCTATTTGTGTTAAAGTCATTTCATTGACTGGTTGTGGGGGTCTTGCGCGGGGTAGATTCTAGTTGATTTGATGTATTTCCTTGTATATCCCCTATTAATAGTGGTTAAAAGGGTGTCCTTTATTTGGTTGTCCCCTCTCTTCCCACTTCTCTCCCTTTGTATTGGTTAAAAGGGGCCGGGGGTCCTACTCTCCGTGATATTAGGTTTTGGGTTAAATGTGTTTATTTTCATCAAGATAGGTGTATTGGGGTTGGGGGGTCCCAGGGAGGTGGGGGTGGTGATATTAGGTTTTGGGTTAAATGTCCTTATTTTCATCAAGAGAGGTGTATTGGGGTTGGGGGTGTTAGGGGGGTGGGGATGGATTAACTCTGTCTTTTCAGGCATTGTAGTTTTCCTGTAAGGTTAGTTAAGAGTTTATTTGATGTATCTCTTCCCGTTTCTCTCCCCTTTTATTGGTTAAAAGGGAGTGGGGGTCCTACTAGTGATAGTTTAGGTTTTTGGTTAAATGTCCTTATTTTCATCAAGATTTTCATCAAGGTAGGTGTATTGGGTTTGGGGGTTCTTAGGGGGTTGGAATGGATATCTCAGTCTTTACTGCCATTGTAGTTTTCCAGTAAGGTTAGTTTAGAGTTTATTTGATGTATTTGGTTGTTTTATCTGCCCATTATTAATGGTTAACAGGGTTTTGGGTCTTGTAAGGGGATTAATTAGTTAGGGTTTGGTTAAATATTAAAGTTTGTTACACCATTTTCCCTTATTCCTATCTTCTTAGATGTCTTGTAGAGGGAGGGGTTCCTTGGGTTGGGTGTAGGATCTTTGTCCTTTCTGGGGTTGGTCATTTTGTGGGTTTAATTAGATTTTTAGTTTATTTCATATATTTAGTTGTTGTATCTGCCCATTATTAATGGTTAACAGGGTTTTGGGTCTTGTTAGGGGATAAGTTAGTTAGGTTTTGGGTTAAATGTTAGAGATTGTTACACTCTTTTCCCTTATTCCTATCATCTAAGGTGTCTTGTCGAGGGAGGGGGTCCTGGGGTTGGATGTAGGATCTTTGTCCTTTCTGCCATTTGTCATCGATGGGGTTAATTAGTTTGGGAGATTATTTCATGTATTTGGTCGTTGTATTGTCCCTTTAATTATAGTTAAAAGGATGGGGGGGAGGGGGTCCTTCTAGGTGATAGAGTAGGTTTTAGGTTAAGTGTTAGAGGTTTTGGCTCCATTTCTTCTTATTCCTATCACCCATGTATGTTTATGAGGGATGGAGGTTAGGGAGTATGTCTGTCCTTTGGGTTATTGTTCCTGTCCCCATTGGTTGCAGGTGTTAGGTTCAGTTTAAGCCCTGTATTTTCTAGAAGGCTGGTTTTGAAGTCGGTGTGTGCTTTTTCGATCACAAAGTCAGCTTTCTAGAAATGTCCTATTTGTGTTAAAGTCATTTCATTGACTGGTTGTGGGGGTCTTGCACGGGGTAGATTCTAGTTGATTTGATGTATTTCCTTGTATATCCCCTATTAATAGTGGTTAAAAGGGTGTCCTTTATTTGGTTGTCCCCTCTCTTCCCACTTCTCTCCCTTTGTATTGGTTAAAAGGGGCCGGGGGTCCTACTCTCCGTGATATTAGGTTTTGGGTTAAATGTGTTTATTTTCATCAAGATAGGTGTATTGGGGTTGGGGGGTCCCAGGGAGGTGGGGGTGGTGATAATAGGTTTTGAGTTAAATGTCCTTATTTTCATCAAGATAGGTGTATTTGGGTTGGGGGTCTTAGGGGGGTGGGGATGGATTAACTCTGTCTTTTCAGGCATTGTAGTTTTCCTGTAAGGTTAGTTAAGAGTTTATTTGATGTATCTCTTCCCGTTTCTCTCCCCTTTTATTGGTTAAAAGGGAGTGGGGATCCTACTAGTGATAGTTTAGGTTTTTGGTTAAATGTCCTTATTTTCATCAAGATAGGTGTATTTGGGTTGGGGATCTTAGGGGGTTGGAATGGATTATCTCGGTCTTTTCTGGCATTGTAGATTTCCAGTAAGGTTAGTTTAGAGTTCATTTGATGGTTATGGTTAAATTAATAGTTTGTTACACCCTTTTCCCTTATTCCTATCTTCTTAGATGTCTTGTAGAGGGAGGGGTTCCTTGGGTTGGGTGTAGGATCTTTGTCTTTTCTGAGTTTCGTCATTTTGTGGGTTTAGTTTTGGTTGTCCCCTCTCATCCCACTTCTCTACCTTTGTATTGGTTAAAAGGGGGCTGGGGGTCTTACTAGGTGATAATTTAGGTTTTGGGTTAAAGTCCTTATTTTCATGAAGATAGGTGTATTTGGGTTGGGGGATCCGAGGGAGGTGGGGGTGGTGATATTAGGATTTGGGTTAAATGTTCTTATTTTCATCAAGATATTTGTATTTGGGTTGGGAGGTCTTAGAAGGGGTTGGCTCCATTTCTTTTTAGTCCTCTCTCCCGTGTATGATTATTAGGGGTTGAGGTTAGGGAGTATGTCTGTCCTTTCTGTAATTGTTCCTGTCCCCATTCGTTGCAGGTGATAGTTTAGAGTTTATTTGATGTATTTTCATTTTTTAATTTTAATTGTAATAAGAATCAATTACCTTAGTCTACGATGCCTCTTACTGTTCATTTGAAACATGGCCAGCCTTTTTTTATTTCAGAAAGAGTTCAATTTAAAAGAGATTATTTCATCAATGTACCTTAGAAAACACTTCTCAGTGCAGACATTTCACTTGGGTCTACTGGTTCAGGTAATGAATTTGGTATCTTCACATCAGTACATGTACTATTTGATAGTTCAATGCAAAGAAGGCTCTACATGAACTAGCGCGCTTCATGAAATATGCCCATGTGATAAGTCTGTGTGATTCATACACCAATAACTCGCACAAAACTTAAAAACATTCCTTAATTGTTCTTAATGAAAGCCAACACAATTGTTCAAGGATGATAATTAAAAAGTAGTAAAAACTGGGTGAATTAATTTAAAAATCTGGACTGTAGGTAGTAAATAATGTAAAGAAAAACATTGTGTAGACAACTGATTCCAAAACCTAATAAACTCAGTCGGCAATTTTTACCTAACCATTGAAAAAAAATGTAAATGTTTTTACCATACAGTTGTTTTAACTTATAACAAATGATTTTTTGTAGAGAGGGATGATGAGATAATGGTGACATAATGCAGATTGCTGACACTTGTTCCTTTCAGTCACCTTCAATATTCAGCCAAAAGAAAAAATCATTAATAACGCCGCTTGTGTGACTGGACTATCAGGCAAAGATGGCGTCCTTCGTCGCATCAGTACTCAAGTACAGACTGTCTGCTTATATGGACTTTTCAAGACAGCACTCAACTACAGCCTGTATCTGCCCATACTTAACTTTATTTTGTCGCTTTTGTTGAAGAAAATTTATGCCAGTACTCATAACTGTAAAATTTGAATAAAATATTAGCTGTAATACAAGAAAATGTTTCTAATATTGGATTTTTTGGACACACATAAGCTGTCAAGTCAGCTTTTATTGACCACCCATCCACAGTGTGTGTGTTTGTGTGTTTATTTGCATTTCCAAAATTCCTATGGATCCTCAAAGGTAGAAAAAAAGAAAATGATAATTTTTTTGACATGTGCAGATTCTAATTTATTCAGCTCATAGGCCTTGTAAGTAGGTTAAGGACCCTCTCTACACAAGTGCAAAATGGTTTTTGGACACAGAGAAAAATGTATTGTATAAAGAAGTCAATATTGAGCCTATCTATCAAACTTTCACTATATGGTGCATAACATTTACCCCCGGGAAAAATATCTAAAGAAAACACGGTATCAGTGAATAGAAATCACTGTTGTGTACTTCCATACGGAAAGTACATGTAAATAACATGTTCAATTAATTTATCCTGACATTTTAAAATGTTAAGAATACTTTAAATTATTACAAATTGAGTAATATACTGAAAATTTCTATTTTTTAGAATTTAGATCCATGGGGAGATCACTCTAATTGGAGAAAAATACTATAGAATCGGATCTCTTTGGTATGCATTGTAGAGAGGGCTCTTAAACAGTGAATCAAAGATACCGTATAAGTAGAAATTTTAGCGAGGATTTAATTTTGGCTTTAATTATTAGCGAGGGTACTGAGATCGCTAAATTTGAATATCCCTCAAATTTAATTGCATTTTATATGTAAAAGCTTCTTTAATAAGCATTTTAAAATCGCTAAAATTACATCTTGCTAAAAATTGAAAACCACTTTTTGAGGACAAATCGCTAAATTTGCGTCTCGCTAAAATTTCCACTTTTACGGTAAACTGAGATTGTAAAGAAACCAGGAGACCCAAGGGCCACATAGCTCACCCGAGCACATTGGCTAGCAATAAAAATCAGTTTAAACTTGTGATTGATCCCACCCCCACCCACGGAAAGGAACTAGATTTATTCACACTTGAATATACACCACCAGAGGGAGCTTTCATCATATTTCTGCAACTGGCTTTAGATGCTTTTTATCTTTCTGTTTGATCTTTTATTATGGCCTCTTGCACTAGAACATGGAAATATGATTTGAAGAAAGTGGAATACATGTATATCTTATCTGGGGATGCTTTTCCATCCCAAAGGAGTGTAGATACTTATTTGTGCAAATCATTTCCCCAGGGGTAAGGGCTTGGTCATAATAAGGGAACAAAGAATGTAGGTGTACAAGGCGAGGACAATCCCCCGCTCTAAAAAAAGAATTTTTTCTATTTTAAAAGTATTTTTAAAAATCTTATGGTTTATATCATCTTTTACATATCAAATTTTGTATTTCATTATTTTAATAATTTATTAATATTTTTTTTTACTCATGTTTTTAAGACATTTGAAAACAAAAAAGAAAAAGCTTCATGTATGATTCGAACTCTCTCCATAGCGCAGGTTTGATCTAAGACCAACCGCTTTAACCAGTACGCTACGAAGTACATGTATATGCATTAATGATGTCTTTCAGTGTGATTTAAATGAACGGGTTTGTTGAAGCGTAATTTTTTTAAGAAAAGTTCGATTTTCATATAGAATGGGTTCAGATTCCATTTTTTGGACAAATGAAATAGATTTCACATTTACGTTTCCATCATTTAAGCGTTCATGAAGAATGGAGACTTGACCCATTCATGTTCAAATTCGTTGTTTATAGCTCTATTTAACCCATTTTCCACTAAATATGCTTAACTGTCAACTTTGAGATAAAGATTATCAAATGATAAGTTGTTCAGTAAAATAAAATAATCGTTTCTTTTGAAAATTACATTACTGTGAACATGATTTTAGAAAAATATAAATTTTTGGTGAATTTTGAAAATTGAGAAATATTTTGTCTCATAGCGGGGAATTGTACATGCCTTATACGCCCTCCTTTTTACATAGAAATATTATGAAAAATTTTTCGAAAATCTACTCAAGAAATCCAGAGTCACGATTGGTCATTTTTATATGGAGTGTCCTCAACAGTGGCGTAGCATCGTTTTTGAAAGTGGGGGGGCCAGGCAGAGAAAAATTTTTTTTACTTACCTGAAAGAAGTTGACAAGCAAAAAAAAAAAAAAAAAAAAAAAAAAAAAAAGGTAAAAGTTGCCCAAAGTTAAAAGTTGCCATGAAAATCCTATTTCGTGGGGGGGGGGGGGGGGGGGGGGGGGGGGGGGTATAGGTAAACTTTTTCTCAGTGTCAACTATTTTTAGCCCCGCCGGATACAACGCCCCTGCTCAAGTAATGTAAATCTACTTTGATCAAATTGTGGCCATGATATTAGGGAGTATTTGGTGCTCGGTATAAATATGACCAATTTGCTGTTATAGAGAAGATTTTAGAAAGTTTTTTTTCCTATATATATCTTTGCATATATAACTTTGTATATATAACTTTAACATTTGATATACATATCTATCTGTTAAGCAGTGCTCCTTCATTGTGACAATTAAGGGCCACTGGACCGTCCCTTAAAGCCTCTTTGGGGTAGAAGATTCTAAATTGTTAACATCATGGCTTCCTGTATGTACATGTTTGTAGGAAAAACCTTTTTAAAACTAGAGGTACTGTGAGCAATGAGGTCACAGAATGTGACCCCTACCCCGCTTCCTATATGTTTATCATCAATGGCGAAGTCTATGTTGTGCTCTGGGAGATCCGAAATAAGTGTCAGATCAAAAAGTAATAGAAGGTGCAAATGTATAATGGCAGTATGAGAGAAAGAATCTATGAAAGTATCATTAAATTTCATTTTATAGTGGTATAAGGAGCAGATAAAAGAAGGGTACCCTTCAATATTATAGATAGAATGACCGTGCTCATTTTTTGCTGTGGAAAACTCGAAAAATATGTGTCTGATCAAAAGTAAAAATAGGACGTGTACAATGGCACTATGTAACAAAGATTAAATTTCATTCAGTGGTATATGAGGAGTTGCGGATAAGAGATGGGAACACCCAAGCGTAACGGACATCACAATACCGGTATATATTTCCCAAATTTGTGAATAGGGCATAAAATTCTGTTCAGGATTTCCTTTTAAATTTGTTTAAGAATTCCATGTTATTATACCCTTCACTTGAAAAGGGAGGGGGGGGGGGGGGGTATATTGTGATCGGGATGTCCGTTCGTCCATATATCCATTCGTCCGCGCGTCCGTCTGTTATGCTTTGGGTACCCATCTCTTATCGAAAACTCCTCATATACCTGCACGGAATAAAATTTAATGATACTTTCGAAAATTCTTCATTTCATAAATGTCATTGTGTATCAGCAATTTTTCTGTTTGACATGACACTTACCGGCATATCGGGTCTCCCAAAACAAACCATGGGAGGCGGGGGTATCATTGGTGAGCTCATTGATTACAGTACCTCTTGACGGTATATCGGGTCTCCTTGAAAAAAACCATGGGAGGCGGGGGTATCATTTAGTAAGCTCTTTGATCATAGTACCTCTTGTTTGAAATTGCCATATTAAATTTTTTTGCGCATTGTTTGGGAGAATTTCTCTACTTTCCAACATTGGTAAATCATCTACCTATCCCTCAATTTTATCATAAATCTAAGCACATTTTTAAATAAATCTGAATATTTTATACACCTCCCAACCCTTTATAGTCGTCTCTAAAAGCGGTAACCTCGCTTAAATCGGAATTTTCTGCAATCCCTCAGACAAATTCATAACAAACCAGTTTATCGCTTGTAGAGGCGACTGTAAAGGGTTAAAATGACGATAAAACATATACAAATTTGTTTTAAAATGTGTCTGGAAGTAGGGGGTGAAGGGTAAATTATTCACTAAGGTTGAAAAGTGGAGAAATTCTCCCAACAATGTGCAAAAAACTTGCGCCGTAAATTGCACACTATTTGTATTACTAGTATGAGATCTGTAGCGTAATGGTCAAAGCCTATATAAAGCCATAACGCTACAGTTCTGCAGCTATATTTTCCCCCTAAAGTTGTAGCAGTTTGAAACGGAATAAATTTGATATTCTAGTAGGGGTGTGCAATATTACCGGTATATCGGTATATTGCGGTATTCTCCACCACGATAATATATCACGATATGAAAATCAGATACCGGTATTTCACGATATATATAAATATATATAAAAACCTCCTTCATTGTAGAAACTGCTGAAATAATACTTGTAACTGCCTCAGGCTTTTTCAATCTAGTTAAAACAATACTTCGTCAGCTTTCAGAGAAAGAGATAGAAAGAGGTCAAGAGAAATATAGAGAGAAAAAGAGAGAGAGAGAGAGAGAGAGCGTTTAATTTACTGTTGCAATTTTAAATATCTTGCTTTAAATATGATTTATAATTAATTATAAGACTTTAAAATAAAATTAATAAGAAAGATAATATGTTAAACATTTCTACAGGGTGTATACCAAGTGTATTGTGGTTCTCAAAATCTCGCATCGAATCTACATGATTGACATCGCGATGAAATGTCAAGTTCAATATACATGTTCATATTACAAGTAAATGGTGCTCATCCGTGTTTTAACTTGAAGAAGTGTTGCTCTAATTATTTTTTCATAACTTTCAGGCCATTTTAAACACCTTCATGCTATACCAGGAGCATATTTATTAAATCACTAGATACAGGTCATTTCCTGATCGTTTGTCATATGTGAAATTAGGTCGGTTAGACTAAAACACCAAAACGCTCGAAAAATAAGTCAAAATTTCTTTCTGGCTTTAATTTTATTCTGTAAATACAATAATTTTTTTCGCATATAGTATGTATGTATTGTTTTAATCTTGAATAGCATTTCATGTTAATTAATTACCCCCCCCCCCCCCCAAAAATATAATAATAATAAAAAGACAAAAGTTTATATATTCTGTATAAACTTTTTTTTTAATTTGAAAATTCTCCATGGGGGTTCATTTT